GTCGAGTGGTTATGACGCAATCGTTAGCCTATTTTTACTAAAACTGTTTCTACGGGGCCATAATGTAACATAGAAGGTAATGGAGCACTTTATACATTGTCGTGTTTCTTTAGAAATAAATAATGGACAAATGGAGTCTTTAAACGCCTCAGATGTAAAGTTATTCGCTGTCAAAGTGACGCCAAAATGAATGGGAGTCAATGGAAATGCTAACGCAAGTGAAGTTCTGCTACAACATGGCGGCACCCGGCCGGCTTCAACTTCCGGTCGATGGATTACCCCCTTGGCGCGAATCAGCGCGATGCAAGGATATTCTTCTTCTTGTTAGATTACAAACTAATTTGTTTTGCCATTACCGCCACCTGTTGTTTATTCACGCATCTTGCGGCTAACGGGTTCACTGACGTACAGAAGACCTCAAGCACAAATTTAAGGACGCACATACAGGTGATTAATGGCCATTTTAAAATGTATTAATTATCCTGCTTTATTGTAGCCTGGCATGCCAGACCTACATCAAGATGTTAGGTCTGGGAACTCATCATTGACAGGGCTCAATCTGATGGGCGGGATAAACGGTTGTCTTTCAAATTCTCTCAGCACGCAATTGGATAGCGCTTCAACCAATCAGAGCAACGAAGAAGGGGACGTAGTCAGCGGAGCAAGTTGATATATTAAACTTTTACCGTATCCAGTCCATAGCTAGCTGTCAACATTGAACATTGAAAATAAGGGAGATTTCCAGGAATCCATCCCCAAAATAAGGGATTTTTTTTGTTTTTTACACGACCCACAAACTTTAAAAATAAAACACTAATCATTAAAAGTCTAAAGAGTTTATAACTAGCCTATGTGTGAGAGAGAAAGAGACAGTATGTGTGTGTGTGTGTGTGTGTGTGAGAGAAAGAGTCATTAAAACATTTTTTGTCATTAAAATAATAATATCATAGAGAATGTTTAAATACTAATATCAGCTTACGAGGGAAACGGAGGCGGAGTAGTATGCTTCGGAGTGCTGGAGATGATTCGGAGGTCCTTTACCGATCAGAGCGCGCGCTGACACGGAGTAAATAAAGCCTTTATACTCGACGCGTCCGCACGAGTGCGGCAAAAATGACAAGTTGATCGTTTCGCCACAGCTTTTTTGTAACAGCGCGTGCGGCGCCGCATCCGAGGATGAATGACTTCAAACCGAATATGTCCGAGCTTGCTCTGCCCGTCGCAACTCTGCCGTCATTGTGTTAAGCCCGCCCACCAACTCTATACACGATGTGATTGGCCTGACCAGTTTTTGGTTTTTCCAGCTAAAACGTCTATGGAGAGTTGCTAGACCACACTGGCAGCGAAATGATTTTTGCTGCCGCTAGGGTGCGTCTAGATTTCTAGGCTAGCTTTATTGCTCTCTATGTTACATCAAACTTCTATTTCTGATTTAATTACAATGAACCGCCATGATCTGTCCGCGTTTGGTAATGAACATAAAAGACCACTAAACTAAAGTTTGCGCCATCGTGTTTCAGTTGAACAAAAAATGTAATCTTAGTTTGTTTATCGCACGACAAAGGCTTTGATCTAATTAAATTGGTGTATAGATGTGTTGTGACTGGATCCAGAGCGAACCGAACTGTGCTCACAAGCAGCTTGTGATTCAGGTTCTTCTTTCACAGTAAATTCTGCGAGCTCCATCACTGCATGTGAGCGAGTTTAACGTGCATTGTCAGTGCCACATGTGAGTGGTTGATCAATGTATTTTGCAATGTAAAATGCAACCATCTCACAGTCACAATCGGTATTTTTGAGAAAAAGTCTATACATGCAATTTACGTTGGATGTATATTTTGTTCTTGCAATGTTGTATTTGTTGCAATTTTGCACTTTTGACAAACAGTCTGAGATATTTGAGTGTTGTGTGTAATAAAACAATAAAAATCATAATTGTATTGCATTGTTTTAAACACTAAATATTTTACTTAAAACATTTCTCAGACACTTATTCAGTTATTTATAATATATGTTGTTCAAAAAAAGCAAAAGTAGTTTCAATGTAGCTAGCTACTTTTTGATCGTAACTTGTAGTGTAGCTAACTACTTTTCCAAAAGGGTAGCTTGACTGTAGTTTAACTACTTTAACTAACGAGTAGCTTGTAGCTTGTCAAACTACAGTTTCAAAGTAGCTTCCCCAACACTGCTAATAACACACTTTTCTGTGGTGTGACAAACTCAGAACACATACTTAATTTTGACTTTACAGGGACTTAAATTTTTTTTTGGAAACCTGTTGCCTTAAAATGATTGCAATGTATGATGTATGTAAAGTAAAATTGATGAAAGTAAATCAAATTAAAAAAAATTAAGTTATGTGAACTTGACAATTCCAAGTTGAACTATTTTAATCTACTTAAGTTGCAATTACTTAATGTCAATCTTCTCAACTAAAAAACTAACAAGATTTTCCTGAGTTCTTTCTACTTAATTAAATTGAGGAAACCTGCTGCCTTGAAAAAAATGAAGTAACCACAACTTATGGTACATGAGTACTTAGAATTCACTAGAGACTGATTTTAATGTAATCTGATTTTATACATTTCTTTGAAAGTCTTCACCAAAATTGTAGGCTATACAATTCTTAAAAAATACAAAATTTTTCAAAACAACATTGTGTTTATTCCCATACATCCATAAACCGCAAAAAAAAAAAAAAAACACTCTTCTCTGAGAGTAGATAACATTTAAAATTGTCAATCTGTAATTATACTATTATACTTTCAATTTCAATACATTCAGAAAAGCAAAAACTTTATTCAACTAAGTGGAGAAAGCACTTTTTCACATTAAAACACAGAAGGTTCTACTGATGCTGTAAAACACATTGTCAAGAAGACTCCTAAAACATTGCAGTCAAGCTAAAAATGCATTTTGTTACTTTGGTCTGCATCACAGGCTCCAACCTTTAAAATGTGGACATCACAAATCGCTACATGGTTACCACTTGAAAAGCTCACCTACGATAAACATAAAAAATCTGACAGATTCTGGCTCATGGTCTCCCCTTTGGGAATATATAAAGGAACTCCCTTAACAAGCATATCGGACCGCTTCTAATTTCTGCTCATTTTCTCAAGTCAATGTGACCTTGATTATCTGTGGTTGTTATTATTTTAATTTATTTCACTTATTCCTGTCTTTTATGTTTTGTACACCCTGTAACACGAATAGAACTTGATGTTGTGATACTGTAATGTTAATTTTCTACTGTGGGCAAACAAGAAAAAAATAAAAATAAATTGCAGTCAAGTTGAAAATAATTTCCCATCATTTGCATCGATAGGATTGTGGGCAGTGAGTTCCAGGTCGTGGACCTTTCCCGATCCCTTCCCCACTTTCTCTCTCCCACTTCGCTTTTTGTCTACTGTCCTATCATAATAAAAAGGCAAAAATGCCAAAAATAAATCTTTAATAAATAAATAATTAGGCTACGAATGATTGAATAGAGTAAACGAGTAAAATAAGAGTAGGCTATTTAGCGTGCCGTCCAAGGGGATTAAGAACTCCAAGCTCAAAATTTAGCCTAAACCCAAAGTATTCCCGGCTGGGAATAGGAACCAGCCGAGTGTGAGGAGTCTGGGTGGTGGAGGGGTGCAGGAAACTGTCGAGGTAACTAGGTAGGTGAGTCGGCTGTGTATAGGCTACAATTAGCTGAACATATACTCGTTTAATTAGTGACACACAGCCTTCATTTTTAAGTCTTTATTTGAATAAGGCAATATAATACCTCGTTCTACAATATTTAGGCCTATATGATTAAATCACTGACAGAGACCCTTACGCCATCAGCTACTAATTTTCGTAGCCTATGCATTTTTCTGTATTCGTCATTCAGTGGCTCTGAATTGTCAAAACACCTCTTAAAGGGATAGTTCGGCCAAAAATGATATTTAACACATGCATTACTCACCCTCAAGCCGTTCGAGATGCATATGTCAATCTTGTTTCAGACAAACACATTTTCAGTTATTTTAGAAAATGTCTTAGACCCTTCAGTGGATATAATGTGAAGCAATGGGGTCCACCTCCTTCAAGTCCCAAAATGTGCATATATCCTTCACAGAAGTAATCCATCCGGCTCCAGGGGGATAAACGAAGGCCTTATGAGGGTAATCCGTGCGGTTTTGTCGTAAAAATATACATATTTAAAACTTTATAAATGAAAATATCTGACTTCCGGCAACGATCGACGCGCGTTCACGGGTGATGGAAGTCGGCGTACGAGGTAGGACGTAGCGTAGGAACCGTCGTGACGTAGACGTTGTTTTGCTCTGCTCTCTGGCTGCGCAGGCGCGTTCGTTCTACGTCACGACGGTTCCTACGCTACGTCCTACCTCGTACGGACATGTGTTAAATATCATTTTTGGCCGAACTATCCCTTTAAAATGCATGCAACAGATGCGAAAAATGCAGAAAATTTAACATGATCTGAATTTTTTACTCAATTACGTTTACACACCTACCTCTGAAACTTTCGTTCGTCATAAAAATTATGATCGGGTTCAATTTTCTGCGTTTTTCGCATCCGTAGCAAGTATTTTGAGTGGTGTTTTGACAATTCAGAGCCACCGTACAAGCAAACCCCAAAATCCAGAACTGTTCAGGATCAATTGGTTCACAGAAATTGGTGGTCTTTTTAATATGTGGCTCCAGTCTCGCTAGCAAAGCATCAAACTGAGCCACTGACATCCTAAAGTGAACTTTAAATCGCTCTGGATGGACCAAATATTTCCTCAACAAAATCATCTTCACTCCCTGAAGGCTCCATTTTGTATTGTTTTGCACATTTTTTCGCAACGGGTTAATTAATAGGCATCGGACTCAGTGTGCAAGGACCTTTAGTGGTAAGATAAAATGGTATGTGAATACGGCCCCTTTTGTGTAAATTTATACAAAAATAAGTTGAAATTGCAATACATAATGACTTGAATTTACCACTTTAAATTGAGCATGTTTATAATTTGTAAATACAATTTTTTTAGGGGGTATCAAGACAAAAATGTCAGTGGGATATTTTTTGCAACACTTTGCCAGAACTCTATTATCTGTTTCGGTGACCTCGCAATTGTTGTAATGACCTTGGAAAGGTTGTGACTTTTAGAATCCTTCATAAAGGTCCGAAACTGAGAAGGATCTGGTGCGCGTGAGGGTTTAATGCCCAACCGTTTCAGACAAGTGCCCACATATGCGTCCTCTATGTTAAAGGGCTTCACGTCCTTGGAAGCCTCGACTATTTTTTTGGGAAGGTCATTGGAGAAAACATATCCTACTCCCAGCACATATGTGGGGTATTTCGGTTCGGGGTACAGCTCCTCTGTGACGTAATATTTAGATTTTTTGTTTCTGACGACATGCTGGTTCAACATCAAAAAACCAGTGATGTAGTTCTGTCTGGGTGTGTTGGGTGCCAATAGAAGAGTCATCAAGTTTTCCATGTTTAAGTACATGTCAGAATCGACCTTCATACTGAAATTGGCTTGAGGACAACGAGTGGCCAACCAGTCCATGATCACCATCGTCTTTATGGTCAGGTTTAAGTATGAGTCCACAAAGTTGCTCTGCAGTAAGTCTCTGTGTTGTCGGCTCTCTTCCTCCAGCTGCTGTTGAGCTTTTTCAGAGTCGGATCCTCCAGTCAAACCCACCAAGAACAGAGTCATCACTGCTTTTCCCTGGACTGTGCTCTCATTCCCCCACGTGCTCCGGATGGCGTTTCGAGCTTCTACCTGATGGGGCGCCACAGGGACCATCAAGACCAGGAACGGATTCTGCTGACATTTATCAGGTTCATCCAGAATGTAATGATAGTTGCTTGGATGAGCTATATGATGATGCACTGAAATGGGTTTGGTGCTAATGGATGCAGTGGGTTTGTTCAGTGCTGTAGGTGTTTGCTTGATTTTCCAGAAAAAAAGTTTGCCAGACAAGCTCTCAGTATAGGACTGAGTCTGATTTACAACATCAAACATTGTGTGATGGTGCGTAACTTGCTTGAGAGAGAAATAGATATAAGCCATAGTAGACAATGATAATGTAATTGTGAGCATCAGAATGAATCTTGTTTGACACATTAAAGCTCTATCCGTCAAACCGCATCTGAAGAAGAAGGAGAAACATTAAAATATTAAATGATCTCCATTGGATTAGTTTTTGTCACAATCAGTCCTAATTATTTCGAAAGATTGAGTAGCACTACATTTATTTTTTCCATGCAACTCAGCGAAAGCTGAGTAAGTTTTAGTGCCAGACACACAGCCAGTGACAATAACACCGTTATACCATAATTTGATCATAAAAGATCAAATTGTTTGCTGTTGGTATTAATATCAAACACATACAAAGTACCATTTGTCTAGGCCGTTTTTGTGTGTATTTGACATTCAAATATGTTATGAAGCTGATCCATCGATCTCATGAATAAGCTGTACAAAAGTGACCGTGCCGGTTTTCCCTGTCTGTCTTTCACTCTCTTTCAAAATGTGTGCTGAAATATGTAATCATATTATATGATTCTACATAACATGATATTCTACATAACAACATACGTTTTTAAAACATGCAATTTGGGGAAATATAGTTTATCTTTACCTTCATGCACTTTGGTCAGTAGTGTATAGTTGGTATAGATAGACTCAGGCATTGTTTCCACTTGTTATTGTTAACTATGACTAAAACTATTAAAAATAATTTTTGTGATTGAAAAGTTGAGATAAAGCTAAAATATAAAATCTTAGATGGGGTTTTACACACACACAAAAAAAAGTAATAAAAATGACAGAAGCACACAATTAACTTAAGGGAATTTTAAATCTCATTCAAAATGTTAATAAATACTATAATAGTATATAAGAGTTTTTAATAACTGAAAATTTTCAGGTATTACAATGAAATATAAAAGCTATTGCATAGAGATCAGCAGAAGTATAAAGTATCAAAATATGACAAATTATAACCTCATATTTACTCATAATTGTTTTGGCTATTATGGGTACTGCATGGTGTTCATTAAAGTGTTGATTTTATAGCATGAATGAAAAAAACATAAACAGCAAATAAAAAAAAGGGGCCATACCTCTTCCACATGCTTCCAAATGTCCTGACTGCACATCTACTGTAAATTAACTTCTGTAACATGCATCAGGTTTTTTGAATAAGTAGTTGGGTGGAGCTGTGCATCGGAATGACTGCATTTGTGATGTAACACTCTGAATCTCCTTCCGATATTATTATAAGAGGAACTTTCCACAAATTTACTAGGCTCAAACAGAATTGTTCTCACATATAATAGTTTCATGGAAGACAGTGGGGTCATTAAAAATGTATGACCCGTCATCACTAGAGCAAGAAGTTCTGGTTGAAAAACAGAAAAGAAACTTGAACTATTGATGGCTAACTGTGATTACAAAAAATGACAACAACGTTGCTCTGCCACTATTCTACACCACTTTTCAACAAGTCTCTCCCTCACAGAGGTATGTGTGCTTCTAACAAAACTGCAAGAACAATATTATACACACGCACATACATACTTACAACCCCAAATCAAGAAAAATTTGGGACATTTTGTAAAGTGCAATAACATTTACAATATTAGGTGGTAGATGGTGAAAGACCTAAATTCTTTGCAATCTTGCATTGAGAAAACTGATTTTTGAATTTTGTGACAATTCTCTCATGATATGTGGCACAAAGTGGTGATGGCCCATGACCCATCTTTGCTTGCAAAGACTGAGATGCTCGTTTTACACTCAATCACGACACTATCACCTTTTACCAGTTCACCTTATTGTGTACTGCTTCAAAAGAGTTTAAAGGCCCACTCAAGTGCCTTGAAACTCGCAGCTTTGTATGATGCGTTGACGTAATGTCCACTGAAACAGGAGGCTAACTGTACGTTCACACCGCCGCCGACTTGAGCGGCAAAGAAGCTCTGGCCGCCCTGTCAAGGACACTTGTCAAAAAGTATGGCAAAGAGTATAGAAGTAAAGAGGCAAAACTCCGTTGCAGTTTTGACAGCAATTGCTAGATGGACTGAACCAACGGCTTTACCGTTAGCACAACTATACAGCATTAACATTATGTCTGGAAATTATTGGTTAATAATTTGGTAACAAGTTTTTATCAGTCAAGATGAATTAAATTATAAAAAAACTAAAGACTAAAACATATAGAACAGCTATTATACTTACCATTGTCATTCTATTTGTAGTAAATATGTGCACTTTACTTGCACAATGTTTGATTTTTTGTGTGTAATGCAGGCAGAAATGATGCGGTGTGATCTACTTACCATCACCAATTTTGTTAATTTTGTGATGATGTTCTATTACTATTAAATATTCTCTCTTGACTAATGTGTTGTCCCTTTCACCTACTCACTACTCACTGTTCATTGTGTTTTGGCTTTTTCAAGGAATTTGTCAATCATTTCATGAGGAACATGGGCTGTTGTTACTGGTGTTGTAAAATTGTGCTGTGTATGAAAACGTCTCCGGTTACTATCGTAACCTCGGCTCCCTGAGAGGCGGGAACGAGACATTACGTCAGCATGACGTATATGGGAACTTCTCCCTTCTCCACTTTCGCTGAAATCTTATGGGCGAACGCCAGCTGGGGACAGCTGGCCAATTGACGCGAAGCATGGAAATACTGACAGGTTCGTTGGCAGTATAAAATGCATGGGCGCGACAATTACGTCAGAATCACGACTGAACGCTAGCACAGCTGACCAAACAGCAAGCACGGCGGCTAACGTAATGTCTCGGTCCCGCCTCTCAGGGAACCGAGGTTACGATAGTAACCGGAGACGTTCCCTTTCGAGGCGGTAACTTCAACATTACGTCAGCGTGACGTATATGGGAACTGAATTAAATCCCGCCGTGAGAGCAATGAAGATAAGCCCTGAACGGGGTCAAAACACACCCAACGTAAGCAAGACAGTTCTAGCCAATAGTTGCGTCGCTAAGAGCGCTCTCATCTGATAGGAGGAACTAGACCAAAGAGACGCCTGCTCCGACTTTATCAAAATCTGCATATCTCAAAGCAATGGAACTGAAGGCTGCTCTGAATAGGCCAGACACAACACAATAAGCACTCAAGAATGAGAGTTCAACGCATTTTCAACAGCGATTGCGGTGAAAACTGCATCAACTTTATTAACCATAACACAGAGTTATCAGCTAGGTTACTACTGCATAGCTGGTTAAAAGATAACAAAACATTTTCAGTAAAATTCAACTCACCGAAAGTACGTGTGACTCTACAGAGGGTACATCCAGCTTGTATAACCTGGCGAATGTGTTTTGAGAAAACCAGCCAGCTACATAAATCCTGGATAGACATACCTCTAGCCCAGGTCCAAGAGGAAGCAATCGCCCACGTAGAATGAGCTCTGATGTTAAGGGGACAATATTTCCCCTGGCATTCGTAAGCCAATGCAATAGCATCCACAATCTAGTGAGAGTCTCTGTTTTGAAACAGCACGTCCCTTATTACATCCACCAAAGCACACAAACAGCTGGTCCGACTGACGAAAGAAGGCCGAGCTATCCACGTATGTCCGCAAAGCCCTGACCGGGCAAACAATGCACTGAGCGTCGGCATCACGCGAGGCTGACGGCTCAGCAGAAAAGGCGGGCAGTGAAACAACTTGTGCTCTAAATGGTGTGTTGAGTGACTTCGGAACGTAGCCTGGTCTCGGTCGTTGAGTGACGCTGCAGTCGCCAGGTCCGAAACAAATGCAATCGTCGTTCCCCGAGAACGCGTGTAATGCGACCCGCCAATAAATCCAAAGAAGAAGAAGAAGAAGAAGAGAACGCGTGTAAGTCTCCAATGCGCTTCGCTGAGGCGAGAGCAAGTAAGGCCGTCTTCAGGGAAAGCTCCTCAACCGCAATCGAAGCTAGGGGCTCGAACGGTGGTAGAGGCAGAGCTCTCAAAAACAGAGCTGGGATCTCACGGCGGCACGGAGGACGGCCGTAAAGGACACAATCTCCTCGCTCCCCTAAGAAATCTGATCACCAGAGCGTGCTTACCGATCGATTGCCCGTCAACCGGTAAACAAACAGCAGCAATAGCGCCCACCTACACCTTAGCGTGGATGGCAAAGTCCAGCTCTCCATTCTGAGCTGTAGAAAGCGCAAAAAATCCAACACGGAACGATCCCCGGGTCAAATCGATGTCCTGGCACCATTTTTAAACAGAAAAACTCCCCATCTCAGAGCGCAGAGGTGATCTGGTAGAAGGCGCGCGCGCCTCCTCGACTATGCTCAGCACTCGTGTTGCAGAGTGACCCGCTCATTCAAGGTCCCTGCAGCGGCCACACATGAAGGTTCCACAGCTCGGGGCTGGGGTGCCATATTGTGCCATCCGCCTGAGACAGCATGGTCCTTCCTGAGGGGAGCCACCATTAACTCTCTCAGGTCCGCGAACCAGGGCTGATTCGGCCAGTTCGGGGATACGAGGATACTGACGCTCTCTTATAGAACAACAGGCAATAGCATTGCTCCTCTGGGAGTGCTCACAGCTGATAGACAGCTCAGCTCAAGTACACCGGAATTGCATATCATAATCACATATCAGTATACATAAACAAAGCGTCAGTGGCCTTAGCGACAACAACTGTGAATATACGCAGTTAGATAAGAATAGCCAGTTGCACTGAGCAATACAGGGCAACATAACCGTATAGACTCATATCAGTATGAACATAAACACAGCGTCAGTGGCCGTAGCTACAACAACTGTGAATATACGCAGTTAGATCAGAATAGCCAGTTGCACTGAGAAATACAGGGCAACATAACCGTATAAACACTTTTCAGTATACATAAACACAGCGTCAGTGGCCTTAGCGACAACAACGGTTAATAATATACGCAGTTAGATCAGAATAGCCAGTTGCACTGAGGAATTCTCAGAACGGGACGTTTTGAGGCAAAGTCAGTGACGGACCCATGCCTGTTTTTAGCCTCGGATCGTTCAATTCAATGACAGCTGTGTTGCATCGAAGATGGCGGAGCTGCAGCTCTGCGCATGGGTGCATTTGTTGCAATGGAACGTTCTATTGAGTTTCACCTCTTGGTACTTCTATACTC